AGGATGAATAAGCATGATTCACTGCCACCCTGGCACCCAGGGCATGAAAAATAATAAAACCCAAAGAATTGTAGCAGCCTGAGTAGTAAATTAAGAGATCCCGGGGCTCAGCTAGACTCTAGACATCAATGTTACCATGGCAATAAAGGGCCCTAGAGTTCAGCAGCTATTACAGAGCAGGCATCTAATAGGCTAGTCTATGTCACAGCCAAAGCTCAAGGGGCTGGCAACAAAGACCAATTAGCATACGCATTCATTAGGGGCTGCTGCACACTTCTCTGAATTCCAGTTAGTTGTTTGTTTGAACCAACGCATCTTGCTTGCATTATACTCATTAGTGCCTTTTAGCCACTGGAAATGTGAATCTCCACAAAGACTTCATAATTTCCCAAGCCTTCATTTTTTTTTTTTCTCTAGAGGACTAGGTTTATACAGTCACAAGCCCATGGTCCCCAGTCCCTCAAAATAAAAGCATCTTTCACTGTACAACTCTACTTGACAGATGGAAACTCTGTTCAGGAATGTGATGCGTATCGCTTCTCGGCCTTTTGGCTAAGATCAAGTGTAGGAATGTGATGCGTTAAGGGTTCTTCCTGGAACCAACTAAATAGGGATCTGGGGCCATTATCTAGACCATTCAGGTCAAGAAAACTGGTCTAAGCCAGTGATCCAGCTGGCCATGCCTGCTGGCTACTATTCATAGGCTAGCTGTTTGGGAGGGGGAACTTTGGGCAGTGGGGACCATACTGGCATCATCAAAGTTGGACAGTAGCTGTTCCAGCTTGAAGGACAGCCCTTCAAGGTCCAGCCCAAACCCTGCCTATTCCAGGAAGCCTTCCCTGATCTTTGCAGTCCCAAATGAGTTCCCCCTCCTCTGTGTACTTTTAAGATGACACCCTATGCTGGGAAACATTCATGGGTAGCCTAAGGCCCCAGGTCAGCCTGTAGTTTCCTCACCCATGACTTCAGAGTCCACAAGTTCATGAATGCTGGAGGGGATTGGGGTTCTAGAGAGCACTCAACAATGCCTGGGTGACTGATGGCAAACAGATCTTAAACTCCACTGCACATGATCTCCCAGAGACTCCTTGAAGATTTAGCCAATCCCTTAGTAAAGAAAGTAGAAAACTGCTCTTTGATGGCTCTGGGACACATCTCCCCCCTCCCTCTACACACACACACACACACACCTCCCACAATTGTGGAAATAACTCACAAAAACAGATGCCATAAACTAACTCATCTCATGGTAGAGGCAAAGATTCTCAGAAGAGTGCTACTATGTCTTTCTTCCTTTGGGAACAGGAAGACCCAGTCCATAAGATTGTTTCTGTTCCCCTTCGGCAACGATTTGGTTTTTACCGGAGCAGGCAACCAGAAAAAGGGGCTTACAGAAGCAGCTGCTAACACTTGTGCCCAAGGACTGGGCATATAGTTTTAGAGACTTGAATTATTTGCACTTACTGTCACATTCAAAACCTCTCCTTTCTTCCTCCTATCTTGCCTCTGTAGCCACTACTAAATTTAAAGTCCCATTGACCACTTCTGGCTCCAGTCTGCTGCACTGTCAATTAGATTGCTTTTTTTCCAAAATTGGAGGAATTGTTTTCCCCTTTAACTAGAGTTTTTTGACTGTGGACTCATACAGGTGTCTGTCTTTGAGATCCTATGAGATATTGTTATTTTACCCCACCCAACAATTGGCATCCCAAAAGGTCGCCTGGACTGAGGTCAAAATACATTGTAAATAGCCCTGTCTGGTGTTACTCAGTGGTTAGAGTGTTGGCCCACACACGAAAGGGTTACAGGTTCAATTTCCTATCAAGGTCATGTGCCTGGGTTGCAGGTTCAATCCCCACCCTAGCCGGGTCCCATGCAGGAGGCGACCGATCAATGCGTCTCTCTCACATTGATGTTTCTCTCTCTCTCTCTCTCTCTCTTTCTCTCTCTCTCTCTCTCCTCCCTTCATTTCAATCCCTCTAAAAATTAATGGGTGAGGATTAACAAAAAAAATACATTGCAAATATATTAAGTATCTAGCATACCTCAAATTACCCAGAATGTTAGGGAATAAGATTCTAGAGAATGGAATATTTTGTTACCTGAGATCACATTATTCCAAATCCCCTTTTATCCTTCTACCCTTCTTTTTCTTTCCAGCTTTATTGAGATATAATGGACATATAACATTGTGTAAGTTTAAGGTGTACCATGTGATTTGATACACTAATAATAATAATTATTATTATTATCCTCACCTGAGGACATTTTTGCATTTATCTTCAGATAGAGTGGGAGGGAGGAGAGGGAGAGAGAGATACATCAATATGAGAGAGACACACCGAGTGGTTGACACCCACACGACCCCAACCAGGGCCAGGGACAAACTGCAGCCAAGGTACATGCCCTTAGTGAACTGAACCCAGGACTCTCCAGTCCGCAGGCCGACACTCTCATCGCTGAGTCAAACTGGCCAGGGTGATTGTTACTATTTTTAATCCTCACCCGAGGATATGTTTTTATTGACTTTAGAGAGAGAGGAAGGGAGAGGGAGAGGGAGGGGGAGGGGGAGAGGGAGAGGGAGAGGGAGAGGGAGAGAGAGAGAGAGAGAGAGAGAGAGAGAGAAACATTGATGTGAGAGAGAAACATCAATCAGTTGCCTCTTTTATACACCCAGGATCGAGCCTGACTGGGAATCAAACCTGTGACCTTTCTGTGTATGGGACCATACTCCAACCAACTGAGCCATATCGGCCAGGGCAGATTTGATACACTTAAGCACTGTAAACCACACAGTGTTAGGTAACATCTCCACTATGTCACATAATGACCATTTATACTTATGGTGAGAATATCTAAGATCTACTCTCTTGGCTCTTACCAACTTTTAAGTATATAATATAGTATTATTAACTATAATCACAGTGCTGTACATTAGATCCTCAGAACTTATTCATCTTACAACTGAAAGTTTGTACCTTTTTTTATTCTCACTTGAAGATATGTTTTTATTGATTTTAGAGAGAAAGGAAAGAAGAGAGAGAAACATCAATAGGTTGTCTCCCATACATGCCCTGACCAGGGATTGAACCTGTGACCTGGGCATATGCCCTGATTGGGAATCAAATCCACAATACCTTTTTGGTGTACAGGATGATGGTCCAACTTACTGAGCCACACGGCCAGGGCGAAAGTTTGTGCCTTTTGACCAACACATCCCCATTTCTCCTACTCCCAGCCCCTGGTAACCACTATTCTACGCTGTTTCTATTAGTTCAGCTTTTAGAGTTCCACATATAAATAAGGTCATACAGTATTTGTCTTTCTCTGTCTGACTTATTTCACTTACCATAATGCCCTCAAGTTCCATCCATGTTGTCACCAATGGCAAGATTTTCTTCTTTCTCATGACGGGATAATATTCCATTATATATATATGCCACATCTTCTTTATCCACTCATCTGTTGACAGGCACTTAGGTTGTTTCCATATCTTCACTGTTGTAAATAGTGCTGCCTCCCACTCTTGATTTTTGAAATCTTACTAATATGACTGCACTCTTTTTTTTTTTGCCTTAGTAAAACTGGCCTCTGTTTGTTTTTGGGGGGGCTTCCAAGGGCTTCAGGATTCTCATGTTTAACAGAATCACACAACAGGCTCGAGTGGAGAAAGTGTAAGGGATAGAACTTGATATCTACTAAGATCAAGTTATCCCTTGGAATATATTTCACTTTTATTAAAATCCCAAAAGAGGAATGAATTTTTTTTTTTTTTTTGTCAATGGCCTTTCTCTTCAAATAAGGGTATAGGAGGAGATTCTGCTAAGGAAGAGTCCCAATTAGTAACAATCTAGTAAATGGAGTCTTTATTTTAAATTAACCACTATCGAAACTATCTGTATCAGAATAGCCTAGAGTTGGAATTATGAATAGGTAGATAAATCTATCTAACCTATTGTGCTATTTTTGTTGATTATGAATTTTCCCAGAATCTCAGTATCTGCAGTATTCTCAGTTATCTGGGTGTATAAAGGAGAGGAGGGTAAATTTGTGAAGGAAGAATTACAAACTCTACCCAAGCCTTTTAGCCACCCAGGCTCCAGTGGGGTGGATCAAAAATGCTATACAATGTTCTTGGCGGTTTATACTAATTTTTCTCTTTTTGGATCCCACATTGGCTTCAGGAGTTATATATGTCTGGGAAACTGACACTGCAAAGTTCTGGCTTGTTCCCTGCCCTGATGCTAAGGGATAAATATAGATCTCAACCACTACAGAAATTTGGCCAAGATTCCAAGGGATGTGTGTGTGAGGGGGCAGCAACTGATGGGACCATTCTGACATGTGGGCTAGAAAAAGACTTCTTTATGTCCAAGATCCTCTTTGGGGGTGGGGAGGGGTAAAACAAAAGCCTTGTGTCTAAAATCAAGACTCATAATACACCTTTTCAGGAGCTCCTGGGTTGACACAAATAAGGAATATTGTAGGTGGCTTGGTGTGTGGGGGGAGTGGGGAGAGCAAAGGGAATCTTTCCTGACACCCTAGATCCTTTTGCATGAGATCAGCCTTATGAAAAAAGAAAGTTATTCTTGGCCATTCCCCCTCATCCTCAACTCCCACCCACACCCCACCCCCTGCACACACTGATATCCAACTCTTAATTGAGAAGGACATGACTTAAGATTTCCATTGGGCCCATAGTATCTCAGGCGCTAGAGAAGGGCAGGGGGTGGGAAGAAACATGAATTGGGGGGGCGGTGAATTACTCACCCTTGTGACCCAGAATATCTCCCCCTCCTTGTAATGATGAGCTTGCTTTTCCATAAGGCTTTCCTTTGATTTGGGGAAGGGGCCAACCAATGAGAGAGGGACATGTTAGATTATTTTGAGGAATGGCTCATACCAGGAGGGTTCACTTTTACTAGGCGCCAAGTGGCCCCAGCAACCAGTGTCTCCTGTACCAGCGGAAGCTCCAGAACTCTCACCCATTTGCCTGTTTCTGCCTCGTCTTTGCCTACTGAACAGCCATGAGAAGGCAGCTCCGGTCCAGAAGGGCTCCGGCCTTTCTTCACAGTTATCGCTACAGACTTGTGAGTCCTAGGGAACAGAATACTTTACTGCTTCTTTTTAGTGGGGTGGGTTGGGGTTGTGTAAGTCTTGGCTTGTGGCTGCTTCTCCTTGGGATGGGCAGGAATAGTAAAGTTTAAGGAAGCATATAATTTCAAGAGCAAGTAGTGACACCCAGCACCCCATTTCACTCTAAATTTCTGGGTTGAAAGAGGAAGCCTCTCTTCCTATGGAAGAAAGATAAGAAAAGAGGAAAATGCCAGAAAATGAGAGAAAATTTTTGTTGGGAGCCTAGAATTAGAACAGTCCTTTTGGATTCTTGGAGTAAAAGTTTCATTATGATAGCAGGAAATTTAACCAAGAGAGAGGCAAGGGGAAGAGGATATGAAAGTCACCACCTACCCAGCTGTCTCCGTCCCTTTGGGTTGTAGTTTCTTAGGAACCCAGCTGTTATTTTTCTAAAACAGAAATTCTAACCTATAGCTAAAATTATAGAATCCTAGATAGAAGCTGGGAGCAATCCTAGACATCATCTCTCCAGAACCCCTCATTATGTAAAGGAAGCTGCTGGGGCTCAGAGCACAGAAGTGACTTGCAAATTACTGGAAGAGCCAAAGTGAGAATGCAAGTTTTCTCACTTCTAATCTTGTGCTCTTTCCATTATATTTGTAGTATGCAACTCCCCAACCCTCTGACCCTCCACCATCCATTGCCATCCTGCTGTCACCCACCCTGATCATCACACACACACACACACACACACACACACACACACACACCCTTGATGTCACCATTTATCTCCAGGGTGCATTACAAATTTCTTTGAATCCAAAGTTTCTTTGCATTTACTTTACTGTAATTCATTAATGTATGTCTCACTCAGTACTTTTTTGAAGGGAGGTATATTTTGAAATCTCCCCCAAAGAGGATTGCGATCTGAGCCCCAGGAGGAAACAAAGCTTAACCAATTTTTCTTTGGGAATGGCCACTTATATAAGCAGGGAGTTAGGTGAAGACTGTCAACAGCCAGCAGAGGAAAACATGAATTATTCTAACCTCATATCCACCTACAAAGGGCTTCCCTTAACTTTCCAGCTACAATTTATAGAATCTTTCTTTTGACATCTCAAAGTTCCTTCCAGCTCTTAGAACAATCACATTCTGTAGGGCATATATAAATGTTCCTTACTTGAACTTGACTCCTTTTCTATGTAATATTGTTAAAGTGCTATATACAATTTCAATGATTTGTCAACTGGTTTGGATTTTCTTTTTTTTTTTAATTTTATTTTTATTTTTCAATTACAGTTTACATTCAATATTATTCTGTATTAGTTTCAGAAGTACAACACAGTACTTTACAGAGTAGTTCCCCAATATTTTAGGTAATTACCTGGTCCCATACATCGTTATTATGATATTATTGACTTTATTTCCTATGCTATAATTTACATCTCTGTGACTATTCTGTAACTTCCAATTGGTACTTCTTAATCTCAATACCTTCACCTCTTTTACCCAGTCCCCCAACACCCCTCCCCACTGTGAAGTGTCAGTCTGTTCTCTGTTATTTATGAGTCTGTTTCTATTTTGTTCTGGTTTGGATTTTCAATGCATCAGGGGATCTTGCTCTTTATAAAGAATACTTGATCAAATTGAGAACAAAATTTTTTGATGTAGTGAATAATCACGTGCTAATTTCTCTTTTTAAATTAACCAATCATTTAAAATTTATTATTTTATTTTTTTATCCTCACCTGAGGACATTTTTCTATTTTTTGTTCAGATAGAGTGGGAGGGAGAGAGAGGAAGACAGAGAGAGAGAAACATCAATGTAAAAGGGACACATCAGTGACTGCCACCCTCATGACCAACCAGGGCCGGGGATAAACTGCAACCGAGGTACATGCCCTTAGTGGGAACCGAACCTGGGTCTCTCTGGACCGCAGGCCGACGCTCTAACCGCTGAGCCAAACTGGCCAGGGCTAAATTTTTTTTTTATTCTTGACAGTATTACAGATGTCCCCCATTTTCCTTCCTTTGCCCAACTCCACCCAGCCCCTGTCCCACCCCAGGCCTTCACCACACTATTGTCTGTGTCCATGGGCTATCATTCAAATGTTTACAGGGCATTACTCAATGCAGGGCACAAATTTATCCTTTGGGTCATACTGTTTGTTTATATATTTGATTATATATTTAGAGTGCTAAAATTGAGCCACCCTCTGTCCTTTAGACTCTTCCCTTTTAGGGCAACATGATGGCCCCAGCACACACCCACTATTATATCCCAGAACACTCACACTATCACATGAGGGCAGAGCCACTTTAGGAAACTGACAAAAACAGACCTTCTCATTACCAAAGGATTCCCTACTAGATTCCATTAAATAGTTGCGTAAAAGTGCCTGTTTTGTACATTGTGAGTTTCTCTATACCTGGAAGCAGGGGAGAGGGAAAATATGTTTGAGGTTCTTAATACTGAGGTATCATGAGAGCTGTGGGGAAATCAGCTCTAAGAAGGTTAATTTTTCCCTCGAGGGTAAAGCTTTAATGACAGGCCATCTTTAATAGGATTATCACGAGAGCTCATATCTACAAATAAAATCAGGCTGAGGCCAAGGCCAGCTGCCTCCTCTGTGGAGCAGAGGTGGAGGGCAGGCATATAGGCAACACGGAGAGAAAAGGAAGTTGTTTAGAAAATATAAAGGGAATATAAATTCTTCCACATTGAAAGGTTACACTTCAAATTCTCTGAGATTTTCAGTTGCAGTAGATTCTCTGGGGGAGATGATGACTACCCACTGCAGTCCACATGACTGCTGAGGTTAGAGCGACAAGCTCTGTGAGCACATTTACCCAGAGTCAGGCGGTTAGCATCAACATTTATTCAGTACTCACTGGTTACCCAGCTGTGGGCTGCACACTGTGGTGGGCCATCAAGGAGTTAGAAAACATGGACCCTGACCCCTGGGTGCTCAGAATGTACTTTGGGAGGTCAAATGTGTACATATGTTCACATTCAAGTGAGATTTGAGGACACTTATTAATCCATTCAACATTGATAATGAAGTTTATTTTCCTAAGCCTTACACTGTGAGTCCATTTCAGAGTCAGAAATCCTCAATTATAAAGATCTGCTATATTTTGGGAACAGAGAAGCTAACATATTTTATTCTCAATAAATCTGCTAAATCACCTTTAGGCACTTGAGCTCAATGTGACAGAGAAGAAACATTATTTTCCAGTGTGTCAAGAGACAAAACTTCTAGGACTGACAACTCTATCATAAACTTGCTGTGCGGCTTCATTTAGATTCTGTTCCTTCTCTGATACTCAGATGGACCAGTGAATCTCAAGGTCACTGTCAGTTATAATATGGTGTGTGATATAAAATTGCACATTTGAACAAATTAGAGAGTAATTCAAGAGTGCTTACAATCACTCTTGAGCAGACTGAATGCTGAGAGTAGAGCCTTATCATTCTATATCATTTTTACTGATTCTGAACAATCCAATTTTCTGAGGCTCCTCCTCACTAATGGCAGAATTTTTAGTTGAGTGTCCTCTAAATGGCCTTTAAGAAATCAGTCAGGGAGGGGGCAGCAGCGAGCCCCTGGCCTCTATCATTCAACACATCCAACCCCAACAGGTGCACAGGCCCCGCCACTCTTCAGATTTGGACAGCAGAGAAAAGGGAGGGCGACCTCATTTTCTGCTGCTTCAGTGAGCCTTGGCAGACCCACAAAGAGCAAAGATCCAAGTCTCTGGCCTGAGGTTGGGCGGCATTTGAAATACCATTTGGTGAAGTCTGGTTGTTGTTTCTTTTTCTCTTAGAACGACTCAAAGAAGATTACAGTTTCAGATCTCAAGTAATGGCTGCAATCAGTCAATCAACAAATATGTGCTGAGCACTTACTACGTGTCCAGGTTTTTGCCTAGAGTATGGGGTTTGGGATGGGCAGAGATGAAAGAAGTATCAGTTGGAGTCCAAGCCCTCAAGTGGTCTGTTCAACCAGCTTAAGGCAGAAAGAGGTTCCAGACTAGGCAACAGTCAGAGAAGCAGCAAATAGCCCTGCCCCATCACTTTTTTCTGTTGGGAGTTGGGAAGGCAGTCTAAGTTTTGAGAAGGGGTACAGCAGTTGGCCTCTCTACCTAATGTCAATCCAAGACTATTTTTAGCCACAACTTGGGATTGTGAGGTAGAGCAGCTGAAAGTCTACAGGGTGTTAGGATAAAGCTGGTTTGGACTGAGAATTTACCATCATAGACACACATGTTTAAAGCTACTCTATCCTCCAGTGCTGAACTCAGCTCTGTCCTGACAAGCCAGACAAAGTGAAGTAGGAGACCAAGCCCCCAGGACACAAGCAGTCCCAAATGCCTAAAGCTGAGAATAAAACTTATACCTTTATGGAAAGGATGTTGGATCATAGGGTCATAGGATATTTCTTCCAAAAGAGCAGAGAGAAATAAAATATCTCTTGTAAGAACCAGTATGTTTATGGGGAAGTGGAAATTTGAAACATCTCCAAATATGGATATATAATTTTTCTTTACATCGATGAGACAGAACATCGATTGGCCACCTCTTGCATGCCCTGACTGGGAATCGAACTGGTGACCTCTTCGTGCATGGGTCGATGCTCATCACTGAGCCACACCAGCCGGGCAGCATCTCCAAATATTAAGTCATTTTCCATTTATAATTGGCTGGTGGGATGTGCCATTGGAAATTTTTTTCAAAGGGGAATTGTGTTTGTCACTCTTCCAGGATGATCAGGATGAGGTAAACCAGAACTACTTAGCTGATGAAGAGGAAGAAGCAGAAGAAGAGGCTCGGGTGATGTTGGTACCCAATTCGGAGGAGGAGGAGGTGGAGGAAGAGGAGAGGAAAGAAGAGGAGGAAAAGGACGAGGAAGAGGGTCAGGGTCAGCCAACAGGCAACACCTGGTGGCGGAAATTGCAGATCATGAACGAATACCTGTGGGATCCGGAGAAAAGGATGTCTCTGGCCCAAATAGGTCAGAGTTGGAGTAAGTCCCAGTTGTCCCAATGCCCCTGTAGGGTGCCCTTTCCTTTTGGCTTGGTGTCCAGGATTCCTTTACTATAAGTTGGATGGGCTTGTCTGCAAACTTCTCTTAGATATCATGTAAAAGGATCAATACTTAGGGAAATGCCTGGACTATGGACAGATCCCATCAGAACAAACTCCAAGTGGGTGAACAAACTTAATTGTGTAGCTGAAATTCACTGGGCTAAAAATTGGTCGCAATGCAAAGAGACAGTAAGAATAAGTTAGAAAGCACAGAAACGTTTTTGAAGTCTCAGCCCTGTTACCTTCCATCTGTGTAGCCTTGGGCTTATCATTTACCCTCACTGAGCCTCAGTTTCCTCACCAATAAAATGTAGGAAACAATCTCTGACTTGCCTCTTTCACAGGATCAGCCTGAGGCTCCAACAGGGTGTTGTAACTGTAAAGCTGAAAGTACTCTGAAAACTATTTTTATGATATGAGACTGAAATCCTTGCTAACATGACCAAGGATTTATAAAGCCATCATTTCACCTGGAAATGTCAGAGAAGGAGAATCAGGAGGCTTGCCCCTGGACCCAGCTTGTTGGTGCTTTATACTCCCATGATATACACAGAGAAATTAGGTTTAGAAGGACCATTTCTAGAGATTAAGGCTAAGCCCCCACATCACTTGATCAATAGTGGAATCATATTCCTTAGTATGTCCTCTTTTTACTACATGCTGCCACCACTTTCACTTCACAGCTTCCCCAGCACTCCTCTCCCAGGGTCCTATTCACCTCTTGAACCATTAGTGCTGAACCTTCTCCGAAGGAGATTTTGCCTGTGTCAAATTCACACTTGCTACACTGCGCAGCCCAGAAAAAGAGCAGCTGCTTGTTTTGAGAAGAAAATATAGAGGATGCCATGAATAAAATAAGAGTTCCCTAGTGCCAAGGGTCTAGGTTGCTGAAGTTGATAGTCACTCCTTCTAGAGGCCTCTTTGGCTGAGAATTCTCTCCCTCATCATTTATGTTTCTAATTCAGCTCACTTAGGGTAAAACAACCAGCCCTGCTTCCTGGTATTAGGAATAGCAAGTGTGGGACTCTGAACAATGTCCACTTCCCTTCACCCTTCCTCGTTTTTCAGCCCCACCCCTGCCCATCCCTTGAACACTCAACTGGAACAAATGTATCATTCAGGGAACATTCTGACATTCTGGAAGCTGCAGACAAATGCTAGACACTCATTGGAAATCCAAAGGGGGCACAGCTGTTTCTCCCTTGCCTAAAGAGGCCTGGAAAAACAGGCCTTGTGAAATGCAATTGTGATTCTGGGAGAGGGTGCCCTGTATTAACCCCCAAGTAGCCAGCAATTGGAATTTTAGCAGATGAGGTTATTTGAAGTGTTCCTGTGAAGAACAAGCAATAGGCCAGTAAGTAGGGATGAGGTGCCCAGGGAAGATATGGCAGTGGGGACACTGCACGGTAGGCTCTACTCATGCCTCTAGGTAGCAAGTCTTAGGACAGTCCAGGAATTCTGGCTTCTGTTCAGCTACCCTTGGGCAAAGGGAAAACAGTGATCCTAATGTCTAGACTTCCAAGTGTATGCCTTGCTGCCCTCTTGCTTGAGAACTAGGTGCCCATTTGAGCTTGCACAGCAATATAACCAACATATTCACCTGCTTATTATTATATTATGAGCTTTTTTTTTTTTTTTTTTTTTTTTGGTAGCTGGGCAACCTCTATTCTTATAAACTATATGTTATTTTATTGGATACTGAAAAGAATCCATATGAGGTAGTAATATTATTATCCCCATTTTACAGATGCAGAAACTGAGGCTTAGAGAGGGTAAGTAACTTGTCTAAAGTCACATAGTTAATAAGTGGCAGTACTGGGAGTCAAACTCAGATTGGATGAACGCTGGAGTTCATTCTCTTGCCAGAGCACTACACCGTCTTCGTGAACTGTAGCAATGAGCAAGGCCCTGATAAGTAGGGCCTCAGGAGCTGATGAGGGTGTTTTGGTGGGAGGAGTTAAGAATTGTGATCATAGGTACCTAGTCTATCCAAGTTATCAAGGCCTACCCATACTTAGGTAGGCATTCAGGAGAACATTGGATTACCTAGAGGAGTGGTCAGTTAAAACTTGGACATCCAGAGCAGAAAGGGTTGGTGGGGTTAATAAGTTTATTTTCTTTTATTATTTTTCTTTTTTTAAATCTTTATTGTTGAATGTATTACATGTGTTCCTCATTTTTCCCCCATTGACCCCCTCCTCTCCACTCCCGCCCCCCTCCTGCCTTTTCCCACACTGTTGTCTGTGTCCATTGGTTATGCATATAAGTTCTTTGGTTTATTTCTTCCCACCCCAACCCCTCTTCCCTTTGAGGTTTGTCAGTCTAGCAACAAATTTGTACTTCTTAATCCCTTCACCTTTTTCACCCATTCCCCCAACACCCCTCCCATCTGGCAACTAACAAAAGGGTCTCTGTATCTATGAGAATGTTTCTGTTCTGCTTGTTCATTTTGTTTGTAGATTCAATTGTTGATAGATATGTATTCATTGTCATTTTGTTTGTTTATATTTTTTATCTTTTTCTTCAAGAAGACCCTTCACCATTTTATATAATAATATTTTGGTGGTGATGAACTCCTTTAGCTTTTACTTGTCTGGGAAACTCTTTATATGGCCATCAATTCTAAGTGACAGCTTTGCAGGATAGAGTAATCTTGGTTGTAGGTTCTTGCTTTTCATCATTCTTAATATTTCTTGCCACTCCCTTCTGGCCTGCAAAGTTTCTTTTGAGAAATCAGTTGACAGTCTAATGGGAACTCCCTTGTAAGTAACTAACTGCTTTTAAGATTTTCTCTTGCTGCTTTGTCTTGAACCTTTTGCATTTTGATGATGGTGTGTCTTGGTGTGGGCCTCTTGGGTTCATCTTGTTTGGGACTCTCTGTGCTTCCTGGATGTGTATGTCTGTTTCCTTCACCAAGTTAGGGAAGTTTTCTGCCATTATTGTTTCAAATAGGTTTTCGATTTCTTGTTCTCTCTCTTCTCCTTCTGGCACCCCCAAGATGCGAATGTTGGTATGCTTGCAGTTGTCCTAGAGGCTCCTTACACTATCCTCATTTTTTTGGATTTTTTTTTTTTTTCGCTTCTGATTGGGTGCTTTTTGCTTCCTTATATTCCAAATCAATGGTTTGTTTCTTGGCTTTACCTACTCTACTATTGAATCTGTGTAAATTATTCTTTATTTCAGTTAGTGCCTCCTTCATTTCTGACTGTGCATCCTTCATTTCTGACTGGTTCTTTTTTATGCTCTTGAAGCCCTCACTAAGTTCACTGAGGTTCTCACTAAGTTCATTGAGCATCCCTAGAAGCAGTGTTTTGAACTCAGCATCTGTTAGGTTGCTTATCTCCATTTCGCTTAGTTCTTTCCCTGGGGTTTTGTTCTTTCATTTGGGACCTGTTTCTTTGTCTCCTCATTTGGCTGCCTCCCTGTGTTTGTGTCTATGTATTACTTAACGAAAGGTATGGGGCTAGCTGAGGCCAGATGCTGCTTGTTTGAAAGCACTTAGGAAAACCTGAAGCAGGATCCAAGACAGGCCAATCCTATAGTTAACCAACTGGCACCAGCTCAGGTGGGCCTGAAAGTTGGGTGGGGCAGGGCCTCAGGGAATCACTAGGGCGGGGCAACCAGTGTGAGCCAGGTTGCTGGAGTCCCAGATATGGCAGCTGTCTGCCACCCCAGGGAAGGACTCACCAAAGGAACAAAGGCCTCAGACAGCACATCTATCCCTGAGAAAGCCCCCTCTCCAGCCCTCGCTCCAATGCCAAACAGCTCAGTACTTCCCTGTATGTCTCTGGCGCCCCTTGAGCTGCCTCTCCTCCAAACTTAGAGGGAGAAAATCCAAGTAAATCAGTGTGTGGGCCCTTTAAGAGGAGCTGCCTGGGACTCCAGCTGCCTCAGCCTCCCTGAGCCTAAGTTCCCGCTGGTTTTTCCAGCCAGAAGTTATGGGGACTTCTCTTCTTGGCACTGGAACCTTGAACTGGGTGTCTGGTGTGGGACGGGGACCCCTCAGTCCTCAGGGAGGACCTTCCCAGCTGAAGACCTTCCCAGCTGAGGTATCCTTCTAATTTTTATCCGCCACATGTGTGTGTCAGACTAGCCTGTCACGCCTCCACCAGTCTCTATCCAGCTGCTTCTTTAAATCGTAGTTGTAGGACTTCCATTCAGCTTGATTTCAGGTGGTTTTGAATGATGGTTGTCCTGTAGTTTAGTTGTAACTTGAATGTGGTTGTGGGAGAACACGATAGGCATTTACCTACATCACCATCTTGACCGGAAGTCTCCGGGGTCAATAAGCTTAGATGGGTATGGTACTTGGTTTTGCCTGGGTGGGGTGGGGAGGGTGGCTGAGACTCCAGGGTACAGACTCCTGGGTAAGGCTGACAGGACTCATTGCTAGTGCCATTCTCCCATCTACAGCTTCCTGGGCAAGAAGGAAGATGTTCCCAAGGGAGTTAATCTGTATTCTATTGCTTGTCTTTCATCCATGCTACTGAGTCTCCCAGTCTCCCAGCATGGCTTCAGCTGTTGATCCACTCCTAGGATGGGGATAAGAGTAAGAGAATGGAGGATAGGGCACAAGGCACAAGGCACATCCCATTAGGACAGCCACTGGGCAGTAGTCAAGTATCATAGGCACACAGGTGCTGCTATTTCTTCTCCAGGGACTCCAGCTGAATAAATGTGTTCATGTTCCAGTTCTACTTTAGTTTATCTTATAAAACATACATGTTCCATTTCCTGTTGGATTTCTAAACATTTTTTTCTCCTCCAATCATTTTTTGGTTAATATTATTTGGCTCATTGTTCAATTTAAAAATTAATATTTGGAATTGGTTTTGGGTACAGCAAAGTTATGTGGTTTGTTCCAGTTTCTTAACCATGATTCAGTTCAAATGTGTAATTCTAACATCATGTCACTGTTGTGAGTGGAGCCAGATATTATTGGCTGAGAGAGCCCCAAAGAGCACTTGAAAAGAGCATCTCAGCAACAATCTCACTCTTATTTACCTCATTCTGTACTGCCTAATCCTGGGCCAAGCCAATTCTAATATAGCCCACAGAGGAGGAATCCACCCAATTATGCTTCTGGTCCTGTATGAAGACTGCCATTTATAGAGTACTTGGTATCTGCTGGGCTGTGCTATGCTATTTATATACATTATTCAAGTACTGTTATTGTCCTCATTTTACAGATGAGGAAATTGAGGTCCAGAGAGGTAAAGAGCATATCTAAGATTAAACAGTTAGGAAGTGGTAAGGTCAGGATAGAATATAAGGAAAGATTGACCTTCAGATACAGTAGTCCCCGCCTTATCCACAGGGGATAAATTCCAAGACCCCCCACGGATGCTTGAATTCTATATATACAATGTTTTTTCCTATACATACATACCTATGCTAAATTTTAATTTATAAATTAAGCACAGTAAGAGTAACAATAAGAACTAATAATAAAATAAATCAATTATAATACTATACTATAATAAAAGTTATGTGAATGTGGCATTATTAAGTAAAATAAGGGTTACTTGAACATAAGCACTGTGATACTGTGACAGATGATCTGATAACCAACATGGCTACTAAGTGACTAATGAATGGGTAGCATACACAGCCTGGATACCCTGAACATAGGGATGATTCATGTCCTGGGCAGGATGGAATGGGATGGTGTGAGAGTTTACCAACTTACTCAGAATGGTGCACAATTTAAAACTTATGAATTGTTTATTTTGGGAATTGTCTAATATTTTTGGACCACGATGGTGGCCTTGGGTAACTGAAACCACAGAAAGCAAAATTGTGGATAAGTGGGGACTACTGTACTGTTACAGATGTATAGAAGGATATGAGGTAAGTGCTAAACTTATTCCAATTTTACCAATCTGGGGTGCAGAGAGGTTCTGTGACTTGCCCAAGCTTACAGGTAGAGCTCACAGGTAGCAAGTGCCATAATTTAAGTATAGTTTTCTACTCTTCTCTTTCCTGTCCTGTGTCAATGTTCTTTTTGAAAAGCAGAGCCACTTAAACTTTTGCTGAAGATGAATAAGCTACAAAATAAGTAGGGTGAAACCTCACTTTGCCTTGATTAGAGGAAAGTCCTGTGGAAATTAACCAAAAGTTTGAAATGTAGGCTATGTGAAAAGGAATACTGTTTCCATCCCTTGCAAACACATATAATCACTGGAACCAAGCTGCTAGGACTCTCCAGGGCACCTGCTTTGGTGAATAGTGAAGAACGATTTGTACTTAGGAGATCAACTGTTGCCCAGAGGGCTCCCAAGCAATTTATCCTCTACAGTACTTTAAACTGTACTCCCCTGTAATCTTGTTCAAGGTCATCATTTACTCAGCAAGCCCTTCCATCAGAGATGCTGTAAAGGTAAACTGCGATCAGACCTCTGACACAATTCTCACTCATTCCAAATTGGTGAAATCTGAGCAAGGAAGGATATACTGAATATGGGGAACTAAAAATAAAAAGCCATCTCATGTATTTGGGTTGGTTCTGGTTCATAAGTTCAAGTGACAAGGCAGAGCTTGTTGACAAGCACTGACCACTTTCATCTCTGTTCTGCAGGCCTGATTTTAGTCATTTACTTCTTCTTCTATGCCTCCCTGGCTGCTGTGATTACTCTGTGCATGTACACGCTATTTCTGACCATCGGTCCTTACATGCCAACCTTTACTGAGAGAGTGAAGCCTCCTGGTGAGTATCCAAATGCCATGTGTTATCAGAACTTGCTGGACATAAATCTGCTTGCACAGCATGTTCAGCCTCAATTAACTTTGGCTCTTCCCAGTAATGACTTAGGGATTCAATTATTAAGAATAAAAGTAAAATGGTACTTGGCAAATTATGATCCTTTTCATTTTGATTGCCTGGGGGGAAATGGTTTCATGGGAATCAATACCAAAAAATTATCCCAAGAATGGGTTAATATATCCAAGACCTGTTTTTATTGCCAGGAGTTATGATCAGACCCTTCGCCCATAGCCTTAACTTCAACTTCAACGTTTCTGAACCCGACACTTGGCAGCATTACGTGATTAGCCTAAATGGCTTTCTCCAGGGTAAGTAAGTTCCTCAGAATGGTGCAAATCTCTTTGGAAAGGTGATGGGTGGGAATTCAAAATTCACCTGACCCACTCTTTCTAACCCCAACCCATCCTGGTCTTTCCTTACCTTGCATCTCCCTCAGAACTCATAGATACAATAAAAACTGCTCTAATTTATGGTTGTATGTTGCCTTGAAAGCATTATAAGCCAACTCTCCAGCAATATGATAAGTCCATTGGGGGAAGACGACTTGTCTTCTTTTCTTGAACACCCTACATCACCTAGTTATGTACTGGGCACATCCAGATGGTTCAATAATGATCAATTTTAAAAAATAATTCTGGGGGGTGGTAGTGGTGATAAAAGAAGAGTGTTCTCTAGGACAGGAAGATCACTGTCTCCTATACTTTCTCAAGGTAAGAGAATTCATTTCTTGAAGATGGACCATCTTGAAGTAAGAGAACAAGGGCTTTAATTTAACAGCCTTCCAGAAGGGAGTTAGAGGAAGAATCTCTGGGTGGCAGTCACTCCTGCATTTTGATTGGAAATGTTTTCAAGATGCCTATGTCTATAGTGTCATCATATACATTTTCAGTAACTAATGAATGGCTTTTTGAAAAGCCCTTCCACAGGGTGAAAATTGATGTTGCAGCTTGGTTAGAGTTAAACACAGAGCACACAGCCTCTGTATTTATCCAGCTATCAAAGAGGAGCACCAGAGACATTGCATTACTGACCTATTATTTGTGGGAGGAAAGCCAGTTAGACTAATTTGGTTGGCCTGGCCTGGCTGAAGGAGGGGTGGGGTGGGAGTGAGGTGGGAGTGGCCAGTAGATTGTGCCCTGAATTAAGAAGAAAACAATTTCCTATGTGATGGGCAGTGTTATTTAATTGAATAAATTTTGTGATTTAATTTTAACCCTGCATAGCAGAGTCTACTGTCCCATTTTACAAATGGGGAAACTGAGACTCGGAAACAGGAAGTAACATGATCAAGGTCTTCCAGCAGAACCAGTGTTTAAATCCACGTCCATGTTCTTGACACCCTTGCTACTCAAGGCATGGTCCAGGGACCAGCTGCATCAGCATCACCTGGAAGTTTGTTAGAAAGGCAGAATCTCAGGTCCCATCCCAGACCTGCTGAATCAGGATCTGTCTTTTAATAAGATCCACAGGTGTCTTGCATAACCTCTGAAGCTTGAGAAGTACTGCTTTTCATAATTCTTTGCTGCTAGCATATGGCCAGGAATTAGAAGCTCAGCTTTGTATCAGTAATATAGGTGTTATTTTGGGTAAGTCTACATTTCTGATGCCTCACCTGAAACGTAAGGAGGGGCTGGGTTCTTTCTGGGTCCATGTATTTCCATTTTTGGCCCACAAAATGTCTTGGATATCATAGCCAGCACAATACCTTCTTTACTTTCCCAGAATATCAATTTCATTCCCATGAGGACTGGGATTTTGCAATAAGATAGGGGTCATGCCCATGTCACATTATTTTTGATGGAACTACCTCAAAAGAAACCATGAGCACATGATTAAAGCTTCTAGTCAGAAAGTTATTATTTGAACATAGTTCTTGCGCTAAAAAAATGATTAAAACAAAACCTTAAATCAAATGTAGCTTTGTCTGAGGAATAATAAAGGCTTTGTCATAACTGGAATAGATTTCAAATTCCCAGTTGCTTTCTAATAATAGCAAACCCAGCTCACAACCTGTCTAGATGAGGATCCAGCAGTACATTTGGAGTTGTACATCTAGTAGATCATAGGTACACAATTTCCTCTGAAAAACAGTGCTACTTGGAACATGAATGCATGGAGGCTGGATCTAACAGGACTATCTGACCCTATTATTTAGGACCAAATTAGAAATAATGCAGTAACTTCCAAAGCCTAGATCTATGACATCTAGTAGCCCAAAGAGTCTACTCACAGATAGCCCCTTTCAGCTCTCTCCCTGATAAGTGTACCTTGGACACATGTTACATTCCAGTCAAAGTAAAGGAACACTTAACTCTGAGTGCTTCAGGTCCCAGTAGACAAGATCTCACCTCCTCACCCTCTCAGTTGAGATGCTATGGTTGTCATTTTTGTCTTTCACTCTAAGCTTTTATTTTGCAGTACTAACTTCCCTTTGTAAAGAATGAAAAACTGGTTAACTTTCTCCTCTTCCTCCTCCTCTTCTTCCTCCCTCTTCACCTGTTTCACAACACACACTTCTCACTCTCTTGCATCAGGTGTCTCTCATTGACCTCAAAAGGATATGTTTCCTATGCTGAACTTAGAGATATAACCCAGAAGCTTTGCCACCTTATATATGCCATGGCTTAACATGATCCAGTCTCTCTTCCAAAATTTGCCTACTATATTCCTACTCCTCTCCCAGAAGTAGAAGAGGTGGTACTCCATCCACATTTACAATTTACTGTAACTGAAAAGAAATGATGAAAAGTAGAAGTTATAAAGTGACTCAGAGATGGATATCCAAAAGTCCTGAGGAAATGAGAAGCAAGGGGGCAAGCAATCAAAATGGGCTGAGGGGGCTAGTCTGGAAAACTTCCTGGAGACATGTTGCTGATGAAGGGCCTTAGGCACCTGATGCCATGTCACAGGGCCTAAGACAGATTGAATGGGCTTTCCGAGGAGCACAAGCAAGCTGGAGAAAGGAAACTAGTGAGGAGGACTACTGAAAACATGGTCTTCCCCTATAGTACCCATCTAACATGGCCCTTTGCCACCCCCATACACTTTAGGTTATAATGACAGTCTCCAAGAGGAAATGAATGTAGATTGTCCCCCGGGGCAGTACTTCATCCAAGATGGAAATGAAGATGAGGACAAGAAAGCCTGCCAATTTAAGCGCTCCTTCCTGAAGAATTGCTCTGGCCTGGAAGACCCTACTTTTGGCTACTCTACTGGACAGCCCTGCATCCTTCTAAAGATGAACCGGGTATATTGGCACTTGACACTGGCAATGATAAATGGATGAGCTGGGTAGGAGGGCTCTGAACACTCCACTTCTCTTGGGCTTTGTCTTCACATGTTGCCATTTTTTGGCCATTTTTACTGACAGCATCAGTAATATAAACAACCGGACACAATAATTCTTTTTTCTCTTCAAACACTTCCTATTTCCATTCTTCTCCTACACCCCAAAGCCACTCCCCTTTGATGCTCTCTGTCAAAAATGAGACCCTGAGCTGCTTGGAACATTGACATGGGGTAAGGTGAGGGGCAATTCTCATATCACAAGAAATGCATTTTCCTTCTCTCCTGCCAGGCACACCCCTCTTGAAACTAGAAAATTCTTTACACCTTCAGGGTTATCTTACTGCAATTACCACTGTATGACTATCAGGCATAAATACCAGGCGTAAGCTGAGCTGCACAGCTCCGAAAATGTTTTGCATTTTTTGCTTTTTGTAACATTTCTGAGAGAGCAGAATAAATTAAGCTAATGCCTAAGGAAGGGATGACTCAAGGGGGATTTATAAAAGCCCCATTTACTGTCAAATCTGGTGTGTGTGTGTGTGTGTCTGTCTGTGTGTGTGTGTGTGTGTTTAATAACGCTAGTTTTCTTTTGATAGATTGTAGGCTTTCGTCCTGAGCTTGGAGATCCTGTGAAAGTTTCCTGCAAAGTTCAGGTAAAGTGTCTTTTTGAGTAAGCATTGCTAGCACATCTATTTTATGCAAAAAGGTGGTTCATCCCTTCCAAGGTTTTACCTTGGATGGTTGGCTATGGGTTAGGGAAAGGGTTAATCTTTTCAAAACTATACCTCCCTTTAGTAATTTTAGGTCTCCCTATTTCCAAAAAGCATTAATTTCCTGTGTGTTTGTATGTGAGTGTGTGTGTATGTGCTGATTTATACCTGTTAAAGACAAAGATTGAACCTCCACTAAGGGCCACAGCAGGGAACAACAATGTGCCAAGTCATTAATTAGGATTCTATTTACACTTTTGCTTTTAGCTCTAATTACTTGTTTCTTTGAACTAAACAAACAGCTTTCATTAGAGTCATTAGTCCCCGCTTTTAAAACGGAATTTCACTGTTTGTAGCAATGACCAGTGACACTGGTGTTGCAATAACAAATGACTACAAAGGAGTATAAACAGAACTCCATTAAAATGCTAATTAACTGTCCTTGGAGGGACCATTAACTCCTATCTCATCTGCCCCAATTAGCTCCTTTGTAGGAAAAAGCCCTAGATCTGAGATTTGCTTCTTAAATTGGCAGTAGCTCCCTCCTGTTCGACAACATCAGCTGCACTCTCAGCCCTGGACAATTGTCTTGATATTATGTGAAGCCAGGTAATGTCATTTTTCAGTACTGGAAATACAGCTCAAAACTCCAGTCTTGATGGTTGCAGACCAGAAAGCAGGAAAAGGCAGCATTCACTGATCACTTATTATAGGTCAAATACTTTGCTAAGTGCTGGGAATGTCAAGATAAATATTTCTCTCTGAAATCAGGGCAATCAAGTATTACCGGTGCTATGAAAGGAGCAGTGGGGGACTTGACCAGGGAACAGTTCATTCCACATCGTGGGTGGTGATGCTGAAGATGAGCTTTGAAAGGTTAGGCTGTTTTTGCCAGATGAACAAGGTAGAAAGATATACATTTTGTTCACATATACGTGAGTATGTGTAAATAAATATACACACATGCAAGATGTGACCCTGAACTAGTAGAATTGATTCCACATACCATTCACAAAAAATGAATTCCATTGCTTTTTAGAAGAACATGTAAATAAATCATAAAGACCAACTTGGTCTGAAACTAGTATATTAATTGAATTGAGTCCTGTTTGTAGCTCTCTAATGGAAGCCGTTCATTTTTCAGCCTACATCGAGCCTTCCTGAAAACTATATTAAAAAAGAAATATTAAGGGTCTTTATGCATTCTATAATAATCAATACTGGTCAAACCTACACCCACTTGTGGAAATCAAGCAGGATGAGGTAATTACTAGAATAAATTAAGGAAAGCTGTTTATACTCAATGATTATACTATATTGACAGAAATCATCACATGACCCTAGTGAGTGACTTCGTAGTAGTGATACACAATTTGTCCTTTATTAGCCCCCAGACCTCTGCTATTTAGGGCAAGAATAATACATAGGCAGAATGAGCATTCCCCTATCTGGCATGATATGATGAGGGTAGACTTGTTTATTTAATCATTTCCAGTATTGAGCCCCACTTGTTTATCCTCCTGATTCCACCTATTGTAATTAAGCACTACAGAGAATGAGAACAGAGACTTGAGTTTAGTTGAGCCAACTATAGGCTGTGTCCCTGTGCACCTGGTCTGATTTCCAACAGAACTGAATCCACAGTGGGTAAGTTATTGTGGGAGGGATTTACTAAATATGTTTCATCTTACACCTGTCTCAGCTCCAAAGTCCAACATTGGGTGCCGGGTCCAGTATGATTCTTTGGGCAGGGGCTGGCATGGTGTAGGTCCTCTTGCCAGAGCAGCACCAGGTACTGAAAGCCCTTTGGAGCCCTTCTCTCTGGGTCTCCTAGGAGCCAGCACAGAGCCATATTGAGCACCTTCGGCCTCCTCAGTCTAGGCCTTCTATTTAGTATATTTGAACTAAAAAGCCAAGGCACAGTCTCTCCCTGGAAATGCTCCTCTGGAGATAGGCCTGGGTTGAGCTCTTCCCGGTTCTGCTTCTGTGGTCTTCTTAGGACAGATCGTTGTGGGCCACACAGTGATTTCACCTGAGGCACAGGTCCCTTTAGTTCAGGCTCCAACCAAGTGACCCAGCACTCCACATATGCCTGCTTTTACTTACAGAGAGGTGATGAAAACGACATCCGATCCATCAATTACTACCCAGAGTCGGCTTCTTTTGACCTCCGCTACTACCCTTACTACGGCAAACTGACTCACGTAAGCCTGTATCCCCTTCAGTCTTTGCTGTCAGAAAGGGTTCAGAGGCAAAGAAAAAGCTGGCTGTGATCTATGAGAATTAGGGAGCAGGAAGTAATAAGAGAGGGGTGAACAGCCGCTGGCCAAGACCAGGAGCCCACTACACCAATTCCTATCACAACTACTCCTTTCCATATCTAAAGGAATATCAGATATAGTGTGATTTAACTCCTCAGTCTACAGAAGAAGAAACTAGGGTTCAGAGAGAAGAAGTAACTTGCCCAATGTCACATAATATTGTGATAGAGCCAGAAGCAAACAAATTACTGCCATTGCACTAAATTATTCCCAAATAATCTCACTTCCCTGTTTCTCCCATTTGAGACCTTGTGCCAGTGAAAGCTACATCTCTAGTATAGACTTGACAGATACTACTTCTGGTTTGGTTCATTGTCTGATATTCAGGAAAGCATATCATATAGAACTTGTTTTTCCCAGAGGACAATCAGATATCTGGCAGTGACTTATGAAATATGTAACTTTCCCACTGTCCCAGGGGAGAGAGAACAGGTCAGTTGCTTTAGCCATTTGTGACTTGGAATCATGGGATTTACTGAGTTCTCTTTTGGAGGTTATCCCATCCTGCACTGAATATCTGATCACATCCATCCTATTACCCTCCCACATAGCCACCCCTCCTTGCACTTGGAATTCATTGTTCTTCTACTTACAGGTTAACTACACCTCCCCGCTGGTGGCAATGCACTTTACAGATGTGGTGAAGAACCAAGCAGTGCCTGTGCAGTGCCAACTGAAGGGCAAAGGCATCATAAATGATGTCATCAATGATCGTTTTGTGGGTAGGGTAATCTTTACTCTGAACATAGAAACCTAAGAATTTCAGGGGGCCACACACACCAGTTCTGCTTTGGTTTTATTTCATATTACCCCTAGTAGCACCTGAATTCTTTTTCTTCAATCAGGACACAGCCAGATGGACACCTAAGAGCAGACCATCTTTCCTTGCCTTTGACATATGTATAAAATAACATTGTGGGAACTATTTGATTTTTTAAAGGTGGTCTCTCCTGATGACAAATGGATTATATTAATTTCCTCTCCCCACTTAAAACTAACACCCATTCTTGCTGCTAGAAGTCTTACTGTAGTGCAAACATAGTATATAAGATTCACAGTACCCAAGAAGGAAAATTTCGATGATGATTATAAATTCATTGTGTTTTCTAAAACTTTGTTGTTTTTAGAAGCAAGATTCTCTCCAACCAGTCTGGTAAGGTCCTTCTGTTGGAATCACCAATCAGACCAACCCAGAATATACCTAGGGCAAGCATACCTAGGGAATTCTATATTGTGGGATGCTTGAAAAACTGGCTGCCTCACATGGGCAACTAAATAGTGGTTTAAAGATAGGGTACCTTCGATTGAAAGCAGTTCTAACTGTATATTGTTCTGGATAGAGAGGAAGACTTTTCCTAATGACTTTTTTGGGGGGAGGTGAGGTCCACTGCAATTGGGGAGAATACCTACTATGTGGATGTGATTGGTATTTGATTCCTTGCTCTATGGTGTAATCATCCAAAGGCAAACATTCCTGCAAACAGGGTTGTCTCAGCTTCAGGCAGAGGAAAGAACAAGGAAATCTCTACCAGATATTTCTTCTTGGGCTATTTGTTTGACAGTAGTGTGATGTCTTTGAGACCACGAGGTATAGATGTGTTGACCACCAGCTATAGCTCTAGGGATTGGAATCAGGGTCTGCCAACTGATACATTGTAATACAGAAAGCTCCTTCCAGGCCATCCATTAACCAGCTTTTCATTTGCTTAAAAATGATATGAAGCAGATGTTTATCCAGGTTATGGATCAACCCAGCTGCTTTGTCATATCTTTGACCATATGACCATTCCACCGCTTCTTAACACCTCCACCAGGGGGAGGGATGGGACAAGGAGAAGAAGCAAACACTGATGAATAGCATAATGTCTCAGGGTCCAAAGCAAGCTTAAATGCTACCTAGAAGCATCCAGAGTCTAAATCTCCTCTATAGTGTTTGCCTTCTTCCCGGACAGGGAACTGGCAGTCTGGTGGTGAAGACAAACAAGTGAAGTAACTGGGATATAGTGTGACAAGAGTTATAAAACTAGTATGTGGAAATGCTATTGGAACATGAGGAAAAGTTACTAACTTGAGCTGAGAAAGTAGCAGGGGAAATTTCACATTCAAAGTCACAATTATGAAAGACCATAGTGTGTTTGATTAACTGTGAGAAGTTCATGTTATTGGAGTGCAAAAGGGCTCAAGGAAATGGCAGGAGTGGCAGGGGATTGGGCTAGAGAGGTATGCAGGTACCAAAAGAGGACTTTAAATTTTATCCAGTAGGTAAAAAGGAGTCTTTAAAGCATTCTAAGCAGGGAAGCTCTGTGATCATATTTGCGTTTTAGAAAGAGCACTTTGGCAGCCACAATGTGAAGGGTGGATTGGAGAGGAACAAGACTGGGGAATGGGCAATGAGGGAGAACTAGGAATCGAGAATGACTTCAAGGTTTTGAGCTTGGCTAGAACCAGTGAGATGGTGATATTGTTGATTAAGACAGGAATACAAGAGAGAAGCAGGATTGGAGAGGAAGATGTTGAGATCAATTTTGGACATTTTAGGCTTGTGATTTCTATTGGTCAGACATTGATGTGGAGATGTAAACACTAGTTGGGTTGTGGGGAGGAAATCTGAGAACAAAAGCAACATTTGCTTAAGAGAACTCTCTTAAGAAAGTCTAAGCTATTTAATCTTGGGAATTTGAGCCAGTTATGTAAACACATCACACCAATCTCATCTCTCAGATAATGTTTTTCTTTTGGCTTTGTGTCAGAAAGGCTGCTGCTCTTAGGAATCTCCTTCCCAGACACCTTCCAACTCCTGCCAACTCTTATCAACAGAGTGTGTGTGTGTGTGTGTGTGTGTGTGTGTGTGTGTGGCAGGGGGGAGGGGGCTGGCCACTATTAACAAGTAATAGAAGATATACGACAGCATACATGTGGAAAATACAAAAAAACAATGAAACTGTCTCTTCCCAACCACTTTCCTTACCAAACTCAATTTTTAAAACTAACCTTAAAAAAATAGACAAGACACTTAAAGACAACAACTTTAAAACCATTTAAAAATTACCTCAAATCAACTCTCAAGATTCCGTAGTAAAAGATAATAACATTAAATCTGGAAAAGATATTAGAGAGCATTTAGCGAAAACAACCTGCATTGTATCTGACTCCAGGTCCAGTGCTCTTTCTACTCTGAACTGCTGCTTACCAGGAAGTACCATCTTTTTAAAAATCAATGGATGATATCCCCCAAATTTCAAAACATATGTCAAATTTGAGTTATAATAGTTAACATTTCACAGGAATTCAACTACTGGTGCTATACTTTATACATAATACATTATCCTGTTAAATGTGTTAACTATTAAACAAACAAGGAATTATGAATCTTTTGTCTTACAGTATTTTTCATTCAATGGAATTCATTGTTTCCACTGTTTCAAAGAAGTGTAGAAAAATACTAGGATAGTTTGGGTTGTCAGCTGGGACATGAACAAATACCTTTATTATACAGAACTGGTTAACTATAATATGATCACAAAAATTAAATTCTAACAGTTCAATAACTTCCAGTGGATTAATTTTAAAAGTCGCCCATATGGTGCTGTACCAGTATTTGATTTGTATACCATTTGTTGCAATGCACTTGGTTTTATTTGATTGTCAGTGAGAAATACTACTTCAAAATGCCTTCATGGTTTTGTCCATGTTTAGACTTGTGATTTTTCACTCCTCCCCTCTCTGAAATCATCATCCTAAATTAACCTTTCTTAGGCATTTATATGCTGGGAATCTTCATGTAGAAAACATCAGCATCGTCTTGGTAACTTGTTAACAACAATAAATAGATAAAAAATAAGTGTATGATTTCCTCTTTCTAGACTGTACCACTGATTTTCCCAAAGGAATATTGGGTAACTATGTAGGTGGAATACTTGACAATTGACAGCCTAGTAATTTAAGACTTTTTCCTCACAACCCCACCTTTTTCCAGCTCTTGGGGTTTACCCACAAGAGGATGATACTAGAAGTTATTTCATTCTGAGCATTTTTCCTTTTTCAATCTCCATGTTCTGATTTCTCAGAAGACTACTTTTTCAGAGTAAACTTCCTTTCGTCATCAAGGTTGAATCCGGGTATAAATTTTTCTATGTATTTGTGTAGGTGAAGAACATTAAGAGAAAGTTTGAAGCGGGGAGAAGGAAGCAAAATCCAAAAGAAACTTCAGTTGTGTGATGAAAGATTAGTTAAGTTACTTCAGTGTACATCTGGCCACAAACTGTCTCTCAGAGCAAATGTCTAGTGATAATTGCAATTAATAATATAAGTATTACACTCCCGTGTTTGATTCAGAGACTAGGCTGCAGTAGGAATCCCTTCTTTCCTTAGAAGCTGCCCTGGCCTAAGGTCTACTAGGCTGATTTGGTTTCATTGGCAGGGAGGTCTGTGACCCCAATATATTTCCCCATCTAGGTTCTTCATTAGAGTCATCTTCCTTACTGACTTCTTAAAATATTCAAATATGATAAAGTAATTTAGTCAAATCATATAGAAATGTGATTTACACTATGATTTTATCCAGGCATAAAATAGAGGTCAGGGTGTGTGTGTGTGTGTGTGTGTGTGTGTGTGTGGTGTGTTCAGAGGTGGGGAAGAACAGGATGGATGGAAGCAAAGGGCAAGGAAAACAGAGTTAAAAGGCTGAATAGCCCTGACTAGTTCACAAAGTTCTTTAGCTACAGGTTAAGAGGGAAGAAAAGCTGATAGGGGGATCCAAAGAGTTTAAGAAGGATGTAATAAACTCTCAATCTAGCAGCTTAATCTTCAGGATATACTTTCTTGCAGGCTTCTGTATTCTGTATGGGCATAACATCAGCCAGGGTTCAAACAAGAAACAGTACACTTGACCAAATGGAATAATTGGAAGGGGGGTTATTTACAAAGAGGTTACTTATAAATGTGTAGATGTAGGGAACCACAGAGAATAGCACAATAACCCAGGCTAGTATAAGCTAAACTCTTACCTTCCCTAGATCCTAAGCAACAAGGGTAGGAAATCGTTCCCAGAGCCTGGAAAGATTGAGTCAAATACATTTGACTACCTTGAGAGGAATAGTGACTTGTTGCTGGGCTAAACTAGCCCGATGTGACCTTGTGTGTGTGTGGGGGGGGGGGGCAGGAGGATAAATACCTTACTTACTTTTCCTCCCTCCCTCTGATCTCCTGATGGTAAATTCACAAAACCCAACCAAAAGCCAGAGGCAAGGAAGCTCATTGATGTCCATATATATCAGCTTCCCAAGAAGGACCGTAGAACAGAGAAGGGTGGAGAGTGCATTTGGAGGGGCAAACAGGAGATATCTAACACAGCCACCAATGAGAGGTTATGTGGGCAGACTTCTTGGAACCTGGTACAGTGCTGGAAGCATCTACTGAACCAACTCCAGTGATTGGAAAATTTTATCTTCATACCTACTCTGCTTTGGGCTATGGGATCAAAGGCATTAGGCTTTCCCATTATAGAAACTCTTTTCTATATTATTTAATATTCATTCCCCTTTCAATTCTCCTTCATACTTTCTTAATCTTGTATCCTTAGGTATATAATTTAGAACTCTTTTGTTTGCAAGCGACAAAACAAACAAATAAATTGAAAAAAAAACCCAAAAAACAAACAAGCACTCAAATTGATTTAAGATAAAAGGGAATTTACTAAATCACATAACTGAAAAGTCCAGGTGTATTTTGGCTTCAGGCATAGCCAGGTCCAGGAACTCAAAGATGTCATTAGGAGCCAGTC